ATCATCCATCATCCATCATCCATCATCCATCATCCATCATCCATCATTCATCATCCATCATCCATCATCCATCATCCATCATTCATCACTCATCACTCATCATTCATCATTCATCTTCATCTATATCCAGCTTCGATGGAGTTCAATCATTCTTGTGAAGGCTCTGAGCTCGGGCTCAGCTCTATCCCCTTCGCTCGCACCGAGAGAAAACCGCGAGCTCGCACCGAGCCGCCTCGGAATCGCCGGATCGCCCCAGGGATCATTGCATCGGAACCGGCGCTCTTTTTGATGCAGCAGGGCACCATCGAGTTCAGACGCCACACTCATGTGCTCAAACTGAAGTGGGTGGAGTGGATGGGTTTCTTTTAGAGAGTGTGAAAGGTGTTCTTTTTTTCAAAGATGCAAAAAGGACAGGATCGCTGAGAAAGCTTGAATCATTTCAGATCTTACAAGGCCTAGGCGGCAGGTTTTTTCATGACAAATAATGGCGGAACATGAACCTTTGTGTTCGTTTTTTGTTCCCATTCCCATGTCCATTTCCATTTGCGTGTCAGTGTCTTTGTGGCCATATATGTTTCCTGTCCGTGAATGGGCTATTCCAACAGAGTTGCGTTGACTCCTCTGAAGGGACTGGTCTTGTTGGTGACGGGACAGACAAGATCTTTGTAAAAGGCAAACCCTTGTTTGGGGCATGTTGTGGGCGGTTATCAGCATCCATGTAGAAGTTATGTGATAATTACAGCTTGATATACACTCCAATACCAGATACAAAATATACTTTGGCATGAAAAAAACTATGTTGATGGAAGTTGGAAGATGTGTGTCACAGTTGATGTTGATTTTTCCGTTTATAATCGTTTTTTGGAATGACAGGCAAATCCCAGGTACCCTTTTTGCACACCGTCATCAGTGGATGCAAAGTTTTGCCCTTCTAGTTCCATTGACTCAATATACTGTATAAACAATAAAATACCTCTTACTCTCCCTGGAACTAACATGAGTGAACACCCCTTTTTTGTAGAGAGAAGACATGTTTCAGTTCCGGGGAGTCTGGGAGTGTGGGTGTGCTGCTCAGCCTGCAAACCCACATCCAGAGCCGTCCGACGGAGAACATAAGACGCAGTTGCATTGTCTACTTCCGGTGCCAACGGTTGATTTCCAGCGGCCGGCCAAGAGTCATGTCCATGCAGGCTCTTGATTCGGGGGTTATTGATCAAGTGTTTGCATTAACCACAAGGGAATTTATTGATGACTGCCGAATGAGTCCAGCTACCAAACTTGTCCGTTTCTGGATGGTCACCAAGCAGCAAGCGAATCCATCGGAATCCATTGGGGGGCTTGATAGTTTTGCTCGACAGAACCTACTTTGCCAACCAGGAAAGTGTGACTGAGAGATGTTTTAAAAGGACTATGGATAGTTACTATGGATAATTATGGACCGGATATATTTGTGTTCCCACTGCATACAAGCTAAACCCCAACCAGGAGCTGCCCTTGGGAATGGGACAGTCCCTGCTTTCATGACGTTTCATGTTGCTTACTGGTGCTGGTCTTAGCCACCCTATAGGATCTATATGGTTATATGAAATAGTACTGGACATTTATGAAATTGTCCTGAGCCAGGAACAGAAACCGCAAGGCCAACGCAGCTCTCAAGATACATATTATATAATGTAAGATCGTTAGTTTATGTCTATATCCCGCCCCGTCAGTGGTTCGCCTCAAAAAAACTGACCTTTGGGGACTCCACTAAGACCCAACAGGCTGAAATGTCACGAAATGGCCGTTCACCTTGAGGTTCCTATAGGATCGACTCACTCACAGATTGGTACATACAACACGTGGGGTGTGTCTTTCAAGGGAGACCTGTCGCCAGGGCCAACATCTCCCTATCTGAAGATACACATCCACATCTACCAGGTTGGGGATCTCCCTCTCAAGATGTTGCACCCACATTTTCCCCACCTCATGTTTTTCGCTCAGCTGTTCCACCCCGGGTCACTGGGGAGCTCCCTCAGGTGGCTGAGAACTCCGCCTATGCAAACCGACATCACCCCCTGGCGGCTGCACGCTGCAGGGCCAAATCGGGCGAAGCGAAATCAAACAGCGTTTGACGAGCGTTCTTTTTTCGGTGGTGACGTGTCACTGAAGGCCAGGAAGGCTTTTGTTTTGTGTCTTTAATAGTTATTAAAGAAAGACCTTCAACCTTCTGAGATTGTATTTTTTTGTTGACTTTTGACGTGATTACTTATACCTAGATGACCAAAGTAATGACCCCTAGGTTGACTGGGCTGTCGTGTTGTTTTGGAGCCATGGCAGCCACGGTGCATGATACGCTTTGGATACTTTGAAGGACATGATGGTTGTTCTTATTCCACTTCAGGGTGGTGACCTGTGAACGCCGCTGGCTTTCAGGGAGGGCCTTTTTAGCCCAAAGCTCCTTCTTGTCGAGGAACCTGTAATGATTAAGGGGTCAAGAGATCCTGACCATCGCGTGTCCGTTTGTTTGAGTCAAAGTGGTTCGTGCTGTCACAAGGTTTGGAATGTAACGGCCTCCAAGAACATACCGACGCACGACCTGGAGGCTTAATCATACATGCTTTCATGATGCTTTTGCCACCTCAGTTGCTTGCACTTCCCAGCTATTTCACCCTAAAGCTCCAACTACCTGGAGTGTCAGGTGCTTGGGCTGGGTGCTTGGGCGGGGTGTCAGTTCCTCCTGTCAGTTCCTCCCTGTTCGTACCTCAGAACAGTTCGGGACCTTTTAGGACCTGAGGACCTCGTACCTCACGTCCCATGTGCTCCGAACGAAGTCGGGTCCCGGTACCTTCTCCTCGTTCTTCTGGGGGTTGTCTTCTCCTCGGCAGCCTTCGATTCGTCTCGACCCCCGGTGGCGTCTCCACGTGGACCACCAAGGCCTGCCTGAGCTTCCGCTGGCCTCGCGTCAGTCCACCAGTGCCCGGCGCAACCAGCGCCTCGCCCAGCTACAGGCGCTGCAGGCGGCGGGAGACCAGCGCTACGAGGCTGGAGGGTTTCGTGGAAGATTGGAAGTGCCAGGACCTACCTCGGAAAATGGTACAGATTGGCTTGGTTCTAGACTTTATAGTATTTGGTCCAGTGATTTTGCATTTTGGGGGGCCACGTTTGTTTGCTTTGGAAAGGAAAGGATCCAATTTGGGGATGGGTCGAATGCTTGATCATGATTGAAGTGATTGGGTTGTCTAGGTCGGAAAATATCCTGACATCAGGCCAGAGTTTCTATGAACAATTCCCGTTTTACGTCGTTCAACGTACAGTATGTTTCATGTGGTTCATTTTTGACACTTGTTCCGCAGCCCCAGACCATCCATGACTGGAATAGTCACTATTGACCCCAATGTAGATAACTATTAACTATTCCATACATGGATGGTTTGGGCCTATACCATACATGGATGGTCTGAGAACAAACCCAAGGCGCAGGTGCTGTAGGGTGTCGAAATCCAGTGTGACACTTTTGCGCTGAGGCTGTCCTCATGTGCAACCGCGAGAAATTGCGGTGACACTGGAGGGGCCCTTACAACACCCTGGTTTCCTGCTCTATCCGGTTAGACCATATCCCAGATACTTGATGCGTGGAATAGTGGGTTAATGGCCAGAGACGTCGAGACCTGAAAACACGCCAAGACGAACATCGAAAAACGTCTTTGGCACACGCCCGAGATTTAGAAACGATAAAGAACGGGCACAAATACGTTGCAAGCGCACTTTTTCTAGATCGGGTTCCAAGAAAGAGCGGTTTCAACCGCAGGTTTTCATTAGTTGTTAAAATTGTGGCAAACGAAGCCGGAATACCTTTGCCGGATATCGGTTGTGGATGGTGCTGTTCCATGCTGTTCCTATTGTTTTGGGCTGCACCGCTTTCCACTTTGCCTTTTCAAGTTATCTTGCGAAGAAGGTTTGTTTATTGGCATTGCTTACTTTCAAGTTTATACTTGATCGCTAAGTGATTCAACCACATGCACGCCCACGGCACGCATCACACACACACACAAATTCCACAGAGGCACACCACTTAGCACCGCAACACATTTGAATAATTCTCCGACAACGTTCTTTCCCGTTTGACGCCTTCTGTTTTTGAGTCTTTTTCGTCGCGATGGCTTTGTCTTGGTTGCGACATTTCGGATGGTGAAATGTGGACTTTGGAGGTGAGGCTTAACGTGTCAGACCTGGAAAAACGACAGATTGGGTAGGTCATTCGTCTGATGGCAGGAACTCGCGGAGATGTTTGGCACCGAGGCTGGGCACTTATAGTGGCTTGAGGCCGAATTTGGAAATTTGATGTTTGGGGGCCCGCCCTTAGACATTTTTGTAAGGACACGCCCCCTACTACGGTGCCTTGGCCAGAGCTCGATGGTGCTTGGGCGATAAAAACGGCTTTGGGAGGAGAGTCGCCGACGTGCTCGACAGGCGATACTGGATTGGCTATACAGTCCGGTGTCCAGGCACTGATTACTGAATTTGCTAGCCTGCATGTTCACCTTGTCATTTAGATTTTGGCCTGCTTGTGGAAGGTCCCATGGAGTTCGTGGCAAGCAGAAGAAGAAGAAGCAATGGGCACGCGTTGCAACCTCAGCCCAAAAAAGTTTGTTGTTCAGTTGGTTGCGGCCTCGTCCTTGTGGACAAGATGTCTGTTAAACGTTTGAGACTTCCCAAACGTATCCAAACGTTGGCTAAAGGAACTTTTTTTAGCAGACAGCAAAAAATAGCAGGCATAAGCATATGAAATTGCTATTTCTGCGATTTCATATATGCAACACGGTTTGAGAGGTGTTTTGGACACAGTGGGGTCGTAAGGATCACTACAGTATTCTACCGCCAAGTTACGCTTACTTATACCTTGGGGTAACATAGGTTGTAACATGGTGTAACATAGTTTTAACATGGTGTAACATAGTCTAAGTTCACTAGATTCTATGGGAACTTTTTTCTTAGCTAGGCTATAGCTAAGTTGTGGTTTTGACGAACTTATAACTTATAACTAAGTTAGCTCCGAACGCTAAAAATAAGTTAGGGAACGTAGCGAAGTTAGCGTTTTAAAGCCTTTTTCTTAAACTTTTTGCCTGACAATGCAGACATGAAAGCGTTATGTCACCAAAAAACAGTTTCGTGTCTGTTCATACACATTTCTATTAAGTCAACAAGTCTCTGTTTCGGGGTGGTGGTCCACCTTCTTGGCATGCAGGTGGTGGCCCACCTTTTGATCTTTTAGTGGTGGTCGAATTTTGAATCCTCACCCGATGGGCTGCAGTCTGACTTAAGTATAGCCTTTGTCCCTGAAGCACGTGTATTTCAATGTATTTTGAGGCAAGGAAAACTTAGACACATTAGTTTTGGGCACAGAATCCTTCATGAACATTGGTAGATGTTGTTTGTTCACCGGCTTTCACGAACTCGTGCTTTGCTATGGCAGATTCGAAAAGAACTTCGACGCAAAGCTTGCTTTCTGCCTCAGCGAATTTGGGGTGAGTGGTGGTCCATTGATTCTTTACTTATATAGCGCATCTGATCACATTCTTAACACATATGTGTTAAACATGTGTTTAAATGTGTTCGTGTTTTGTTTCTTTACTTAATTAACTCATTTTAACACATTTTTAGCACATATGTGTTAAACATGTGTTCAAAATGTGTTTGTATGTGTTCGGCGGTGGTCCAAGCACTCAAGACCTTTGGCCCCTCCTCTTTGCGCACTTTCTCAGCTTCGACGATGGCTTCCCCTGACTCTCAGCCTCAAGAGACTCAGGTGGTGTACTTTGTTGTGAAGTTTCAAGAACTTTTTTGTTGTCTACGAAGCTTGGGAGCGGTGCGAGTGGGCTGTACCTTTCACAAGGCAATACAAGAGAAGCGGCTGCGTTGATATGATTCCGCTGCAAGTGCTTGCCGGGGTTCGAAAACCGTCCTGGTGGCATGTCACAGACACTGAAGCTGTGTGTTTGTTGTAGAAAACAGTCATGCTGCTGCAGCCTTTGTTGCGAGTGGTCTACCTAATTTGCGTGTTCTTGTTGTGTGGTGGTCCACCTAAATTGCGTCTTCTTGTTGCGTGGTGGTCCACCTAAAATCTCTTTTAAGCAAAATATTTTAAAATTCTTTTTTATATTTTCTTGAATTTTGTTACTTTGGTTCATTTTGGTTTGTCGAAAAATGCATTTTTTAAGTTAGAGAAGTTACATAAGTTACAACTTAGTTATATCTTAGGCTAAGTGTAACTGATATAACTTAGTGTTAATTAATCTATAACTACGACAAGTAGGCTATCTAACTTGTAAGTATCTTAACTTGGCGGTGGAACACTGTAGGTGTATCAACACATACGTTTCCCCACCAACACCATGTTGCAACGTGTAGAACCAAAAACTGTTCTGTTGCAACAACCGTTCCAAGCGACATTCTGCTGCACACAACATGTTTTCCAGCCCTGTACTAACATGAAACTCAACACACACACACACTCCCCACTCGTTTCACAGCAGGACCTCAAACCTTAGCTCAGGCAGGCTGAAGCAAGAACATATGTCCATAAAAGTCCACCAACACACCATGTCAATCCCCAGTTGCCACACCCCACACTCCAAGACCAACGTCCTGCAAGGCCAACGCCCTAGCGCCCACACCCCCGACTCCAAGACCAACATCCCAGCTCATCCCACATCTCTCCGTGGCAATTCCAGAAGCCGTGGCCTTAGTTTTCCAGCTAGCCTCACAACATTACTTTCACATAAGCCTTCATCCATAAACCACATGTCCCATCCTGCTGCAGACCTCCTGGACTTCCGCTTTTGCGCATCCGAACTTATATGGGACAGATAGCGGAACTTTGGCCTGGTCTTGAGCAGTTTATCTGAGTTTTGGGCAATGTTTGCGAGTTTCAGGTACATCACCAGAAACCCCCAGCCAAGCTCAAAAATCTCTTCACTCTGGCACTTCGACAAAGACTGGTGTGACTTTACAAGTTCTCGAAACTTTGCACCCAAACTAGGGGGATGGTGTTGCTGTTTCTTGGAGTTTGTCAGGCAGAAGCCGAAGTACTACAGCTGCATCGCTGACCGAAGACTTGAACTCTGGACACGCCCGGTTGCTCCATCCCAAGTTGCTCTGGTTGAGGTGCAAGCTGAGATGCCTCTCTCTAACCCAGGCCCGGAGCTCAACATTCAGGGTCTTGAGCCGCTCCTTGAGGTTTTGCTCCTGGAAGAAACCACGCTGCTTCAAGCATACTTTCAAACATCCCCCAACCAAGTCTCGGCAGACTCCCAAATGCCAGGTGTGCGTGAAATCACATCTCTGTACAAAAGCCATCTAGACCAACTAGCGCAGGGCATGCAGTGCACCGGAGCCCCTCAAGCTCTTCACCCCTCCAACCATCAGGCCGCAGGTCAGTGTAGACCAAGCCAAAAAGTTTTGTTCCTCCCCATAGTCGCAGGACACCGATGACATACCTGGAGGGTAGGAATGCAGGTGGTTTGGAGGGTATATACTGTTGGTGGGATGGGATGGAAACAGTGGTTCCTGGAACTGGGGTTTTGGAACCATGCGGATTGGGATGTGGCAAATGGGATGGCGATGTAGGTTGAAGGCTTGTGGTCTCCTTTGATGGCCACGACATGGAAAGCCCACGCATGCAGTGAACCTACTTTCAACCAGTGCATATTAACCGAGATGGCTAAATGTCCAAACAGGGTTCATTTGGGGAAAGCACAAAGCTTCAACATATCAAAGGGATGATTATTTCCGTCCACGATGATGCCATCGCTAGCCAGTTTGTTCAGGTCATGGACCAGGGCACCAAACATAGCTTGCAAAGTAAAATTCTGAGGGGTGCCAGCTGGACGAGCAAAAATGTGTTCCTGGACGCCTTCAAATCTGTTTTCATTGTGGGCCCCAGCAGGCCCAACATCCTGAGGGAGGGAAACACCTGACAATGGAGACTACAGTTATTCACAAACCACCCCCTATATAGCTAATTCACCCATCTATGGAACATGGGGTGCGCAAACCTACACAAAAATAGAACATGGGGTTGTATCAAACCTTTTCACCAATCTATAGAGTATATGTTTCTCCCCGATGGCCCGATGCCCACTTTAACCCCAAGACATTCGACTCTGCAGGAAAAGATCAGGCCAACACGGAGGAGCCCTCCAAAAGACCCGCGGTTGCGCGCAAAGCCTCAGGCTATCCGACGCAGGACCTGATTCAGATTCAACCTCAGATGCTGTTGGGATGACGGTCAACTGCACTACATCCATCCGACGAGTGGAAGATTACCGCAAGAACTACATCAATTACCTCTCGGAGCACAAGGTCATCAGGCCAAAGGCAATGCCCAGCTCAAGCTCAAAAGTCCCACGCAGGATCTTCCACCAACAGATTTGAAGGCAACCTGGATTGTTTGGTGTGAAGTCTTGTTTTTGTGGGTCACTGGTTCATTCATGGAGCCTCTACCTAACGAGTGGCAATGCGGATTTGACACAGGTTGTGGCAAGGGCGTCGAGACAGGGAAGTAGCTCAATCGGCCTATGGACACAATGCACACCAGTGCACAATGGATCAAAATGCGTGCAATGGGAGGTGGGTTGTTTTGGGCTTTGTCCCTTGGATTGCGATTGTCTTGAGTTTTGTCCCTTAGCTGCCAATCTTTGGCTTTTAAACTCTGTCGGTAACCATTCCACAATCCTTAGCAAACCAAACACCGCAAGACCCCCGTCCCCTCCACACTGCCGTCAATCCCATTGGGCAGGAGGATTGAGACGCTTGTTGCCAAGGTAGAGGGCCGTCAGCTGAATTTGGGCCTGGGCCACTGGGAAGAAAGTGCCTATAAATCAAGTTTGCCACCATTTGCCTCTAAGGCAGATATTTATACTTATGTGCCCAAAGCACTATTGAGCGCACATCGCATCATAATTCGGGCGCTGACCAAGAAATGGCTGGTTGGCATCTGCTTGGCTACAGCCACGGCCACACGTCTGTTAAATTTAGCATAGAATTCAATCGCCGCCCAAAGTTTTTTTCCCAAACATATGTTCAGGGAAACTTTTAGCCAGCAAAGTGCCAGGTGCTACCATCGTATGCTTACACGGCATTTTACGAGGCAGGTGCTATAGGATGCAATTTTGATGACAAGGTACACATTCGACTCTGAAACAACCCAAGGCACGCAAGAAACCCACCGCCAGTCCAAAGAAAAAGAGGGCCCGACCCCAGGAGTGGGTATTGCTGTTTTTGAGTGTTCTTTTGATTGGCTTCTGTTTGTTGAATCCTTTTGGCAGGAACGCCTGTGGACCATTTGCGCCTACTGCGGCTGGCCCCACGTAAGGTGGCTTCGAACCGGTCAGGGGCCGCAGACACAAACCGTTCACTCCATCTATTTTCAACGCCCTTGAACTTGTCAGACATGATGCCTTTGAATCGCCGGGGCCTCTACCGAAAACCGGCCCATTTATGTTTGACGCTCGGCTTTGTTAGGCACCAGACGCCCGCTTCATGAAGAAGCACGCCAGGCAGGGCCTCGCCAAGAAGAGGGCGACCGGCCGGGGCCCAAATCTATCCGACCGGTTTTGCATTTCTATTTTACAGCACTCGTTTCTAGGTTCCTGCGTCAAGGACCTTAACTATGGCCGGCGGCCGCCGACGTTGGCCACGTGCGTGGACATCGGCTGGAAACGTTTGGCGCCCAGTATAATAGTTGGCGCGGCTTTCCCAGCCTTTTTAAAATAAGCAAACTTGGTCCAAGCGTGTGTGCTCGTACCGGCCCAACTTCCGATCGAACAAGGGCAGGTTTAGAAGCAGCTCCCCTTAGATTATGTTAGATTCGTTTCTTTCAAA